TCCCTCCTGGGAACTTGCTGTGATGATCACTTTCTTTACTAATTGCAAAGTTGTGAAGATGTGAACCAGTGACCAAGGTTCAACCTTATGGACAAAACTGGTCTAAGAGAAAGAAGCTAGTTCACCAAAAGGTGATGGGATATAGAGACAGAAAGAAATAGTCCCGATGGTTCTAGAATTTCTGGCTGCAATACTATTTGAAGATATTTCTATCCTAGCCTTCTATGGTTTAGCTATGAGACACTTTCCTTTATTAATATAATAAAAAGTTCAATTTCTATCACATGGATAAAAGGTAAAAAAAAAAAGTGTATACTGACTTTGAATGTCAAGAAAAATAAATTGACTATAGTTGGAAAAGAGGGCAAGAAAGATCTTATGAAGTAATCTCATTTTATGTTAGAATCACATGCAGAATTATCTAATTGTTCCTGCTGAGTGTATTGCTGAAACTAGTAGAATATCTATCTACTCCATAGTGTGGATTCTTGCCTAGAGAATCCTTTTTGGAGGAGTCCTATATTCTTATGGAATACCCATATGAACATACATGATAAATTTGGTTAGTTTCTTCTGTTAAAGCATTTATTTGTTGAATTAAGTTAATTTTAAAACACATAGAAATGGCAACACTTCATTTATTAATTTCATAGTCAAGTGTTTTTTGAGCAGCTACTTTGCAGTAGACACAGTTTCTAATTACTCAGGATACTAAAGTGAGTATTTGTATTTAAACTTCCAGATCACTTTTTTTGTTTTGTTTTGTTTTGACCAATGTGCATTTATCGTAGATGGCCATCATGCCAAAAGCAGTTGATACGTAAAAAGGAGACATTCTCCAGATAAATGGAGACCACTCCATAAAATGTATGATCCAACATGGGGTTCTAGCTCCCAACTTGTATTCCCTAGATGTGAAACATAACAGAAAGTGATACAACTAGATGATCTTCCAGGCTTATTCTAGCTTAAAAGAGATCTGAAGTTATCTTTTAATCTCCAGAGTGTTGTTCCTTTCTAGCAGCCTAGAAACTAGTTAAATTGCAAATTTCAGATTCTACCCCAGACAAATTGGATTAGATACCCTGGGGGATGGGGTCCAGTAATCTGTTTTGATAAATTCTAATGTATACCAAAGTTTGAGAACCCGTGCCTAGGCTTATGTAGTATGCAGTAGTCAGTGTACATAAGGAGAACTTTTCTAATTTTCTCTTTGTTGCATTTCACCAACAACATTTTCTGTCCTAGACTTCCATGTCCTTCTCTGCCATTCTCTACCCCCATCTCCCAGTTCAAAACTATTTTGGTCTGACAAAGCTGTCATCCTCCCGCCCCTTCATATTTTCAAATAACTCTACTAATATTATTAAAATTTACAAACAAAAATTAGTTCACATACACAAAAAGGAAAGAAAACCAAATGTCTCTATTGAAAGTGATATTGTGCATATCATCCTGTTTTTTGGAGAATGGATGAGTGTTATTAGGCTAGTATATCAATAAGAGCCACTACCAACAAAATGGGACAAAATATTTTGGGGATATTGTTGAGCTCATTGTGAATTACAAATTATGTCAGCATCATAGCATTTCCTTATGCAAGTTATTAGGGATCAGTTGCAATCGATTACACACACATACACACACAGGATACTGATAAGTGCTTGTAATTCAAAAAACAGACACTAGATGATCTATAATTATCCAATCTTTCCTAAGGCAAAACTCAGAAAATTATGAATAAAGAAAGAATTTAAAATAGTTAAGATCTGGAAACAGCCCAAGTATCCATCAGTAGATGAGTGGATAAAAAAAGCTGTGGTACATTTACACAATGGAATACTGTGCAGCTCTAAGAAAGAAAGATCTCTTACTCTTTGAGATGACATGGAGGGACCTAGAGAGTATTGTGGTAAGCAAAATAAGCCAGTCAGAGAAAGAGAGGCAACTACCACATGATCTCCCTTATTTATGGAATATGATGAACAAAATAAGCTGATGAACAAAATAGATCCAGAGACTTGGAAGAAGGGAACAGACTGACAAACCTCAGAGGGAAAGGGGGTGGGGGTGGGCAGGAAGAGATAAACCAAAGAACTTATATGCATATATGCATAACCCATGGACACAGACAATAGTGTGGGGAAGACAGGAGGAAGGCAGGAGTAGGGAGGAGGGGTTCAATGGGGGAAAAAAGGGGGCATCTGTAATACTTTCAACCATACAGATTTTTTAAAAAGAAAGAATAAAATGCTTGGTGCACAATCACTTCTATACATGAGACCTTCCTTTTCTATTTAGAAATCTTTATTTTAAGCTAAGTGACATGGTTTGAGTATGTATTCATTTGCAGCTAGCATTAGTACATAAGTTTATGGACAGGTTCATCAGACATTTTTTAGGTGTCACTTTTGCTGTTTGGTCCCTGTAATTTGGCTTTAAAACATCACATATACTTATCTCAGATAGAGTACAGGATGAGCCAAAGGAATACATGATTTTCCCATGAGTAATAAAAAAATAGGGAGTAAATAAATTTTACTTGTCCATGTGTCCTTTTCATCCTGCCTCCTTCCCCTAAATATTTTAACTCTTTTTTGTAATATTTTACCCATGCCTGCTTAATTACAGGAAGATAGAGGTAGCTACCACTCCTGGAGTCCTACTAGCTTTTCAGTTTGGGTTTGGAAGCCAATTTTAACTTTCAAACCCTTTCAGTTAATTCCATACTGTACTTAGATATGGATTTAGATAGATGATAGCCATTATTTAATAGTAAATAGTCGCCCAGCTGGTGTGGTTCAGTGGTTGAGCATTGACCCATGCACCAAGTGGTCACCAGTTCCACTCTAGGTCAGGGCACATGCCCAGGCTGTGGGCCAGATCCCCAGTGGAGGGCATGTAGGAGGTGGCCAATCAATGTTCTCTCTCATTGATGTTTCTCTCTCTCTCTCCCTCTCCCTTCCTCTCTCTAAAATCAGTAAAGAAAAAAAATTTTTTAAGAGTAAATGGTGATGTGGGTGTCGATAGTGTGTTTAACAGTAATGATTATGATTCGAGTTTAAGCCAGAATAGTTTGGTTCATTAATAACAATGGATATCATAGGACAACAAATTGTTTTTTACCTTTAGTGAAGGTAATTCATAGTATCATGGAAATATTCATATACTGTAAGATGGTTATTTTATCAGTGGAAGGAAAACACTAATTCCCTCTTCTTCAATACTCTTCCCTAAAGTCATTCTATTTTGAGGTTTTGGAGCTTCTCTATTCACTTGCCTACTACTGAGAGTCGAATATTCAAATCTAGAGGATCAACACCTTCTCATTTCTCTCATATTATCTCCTGTCATTTCTGACCATTCATCTTTATTCAGATATGAAAAATGAGAATATCATTAGAGATCAGGAGTTTCTAGTATGGGAGTTTTGCCTACCTGATACAATCACTTTTACTGTTATGTATTTATAAATTAAAGGAGGACCCGCAGAGATAAAATAACTTCAAAAAAAAAAAATATTCTCCCAACTTCAGAGAACTCAAGAATATTATTCATTTAACATTTGTAATTATTTCTTCTCTCCAATTTGCTTACTACACACTTGTCCTTTTATTCTTTCTTCATTATGATTCCCTCCCAGCAACCTCCATTTTCCACCGTTGATTTGCACTGATTTCTCAGTGCTATTTTAGTTTTGACACTTTTAAATTTCTTTAACTTTGTCGTCTCTTTTTCCTTTCATATTTCAAATATGACTCCCAAAGATTGTGTCAAGATGAACTGTTCAGAATGAAGACAATGCTTAAGAGGGGCTTAAGGAACTGGGAAGAGGAGAGCTGTCAAGATTTTCTTCATGTAATAGGTGTGGTGCGTAGACCTGGGGTGTGAGAAGTGAGAAACAGAAAGCCCTACTGAGGCATGACCAAAATGGGCAACCTATGAAAATAATGGAGTACTGTGAACTGAAGAAAATAAAAGAAACCAGTCTGCCAGGTCAGTAACTAATAACCCAGGGGTTTGCTACTAAGGAAATTAAAAGTTAGGTAATGAGAATGGTAGCCACCTACTGAGAATGAAACGGAAGGCTTCCTATTAACTCCCCTTCCCTGGATCATTTTGTCAGAACAGTCAGCAAGTTATTTCCTATTTATTTAGTAGCAAAAAACTTGAAATGGAAGAGGGGGGGAGTACTGGGAAGCAAACTCTTATTCAGCTCCTTCAAGAGGAGATGCAGGCACGAAATTTTATTCCTCTGGCCAAAACATATATCAGCATTGGTCAGGAAAAGAGGCGAGATAGTTTTAAAAAAAGAAAGAGAGAGAGAGAAAAAAGAAGGAGCTGTCCCAGATAAATACAGCCAACATGACTCAGACAGTCTTCCAAGGAATTTTTGGTGTGGGAACCTCAAATTAATAAATCCGCTGTTGGCTCTGTGGAATCCACAGGGCTAGTCACCTCTTTCAAGAACACCGCTTCATTTCATGATTCCGGGGGGCGAGGGTCGCCCTTTAATTCTGCAGAACACCTCTGTTGAACTCTCGGTCACTTTGCGAATGATCGAAGGCCTTCTGGACATACTTTGGTCCTGGGTAAACATTTAGGGTCGTTTTTCTGACCCTAAATCCAACTCTTGACCCGATTTGTGCGTCTTTCTGAACTGATGTGAAGGCGTGGTGGGGATCCGGTCTCCGCTCGCGGCGAAGCAGAAGGAATCCAGGCGAGATGTGAGGAGACGGGCACCGTCGCGACGACCAGGGCATTTCGGAATCGAGCGTGGGAGCGGCCGGGCGCGAACTGGCCGCCTGCCCCCGAAGCCCAGGTGCTCCCGGAGCGCTCCCGGAGCGAAGTGCCGCGGGAACTGCAGCTGACAGCCCCCGGCGCCGCGGCCGGCGCTCCTCACTCCGGGCGGGGAGCGAGCGCGGGTGTGCGCGAGAGCGGCGGGCGGCGGCGGCGGAGGCGCAGGCGCGCTGCTCGCCCGTCTGCAGCCCCGCGCCGAGCGCCGCGTCTCGGGGAGTTGATGGCAGCACCACAGTGCGGCCGCCGGGCCGAGCGCCGAGCGCAGCCACCCGCCGCTGCTCAGGGTGCGTCCAAGATGGGGGGGGATCGGGGCGGCCGCGGCCGCAGCAGCGCCAGAGACGGGGGCGTGCAGCAGCCTCCGCTCGCCCGCCTCTGCTGACCTGCCCCGTTTGGCCCCAAAGAATGTCCTCCAAGTCCAAGGGGACCCCCTCCTCGTCCTCTCCAGCCGAGGGACCGCCGGCAGCCTCCAAAACCAAGGTGAAGGAACAGATTAAGATCATCGTGGAGGATCTGGAATTAGTCCTGGGCGACCTGAAGGACGTGGCCAAGGAACTTAAGGAGGTGAGAGGCGTAGGGGTGGGGTAAGAGTTCGTCGCCTTTTGCCCCCTTGGGGTTTTCGGTCCAGTTTTCACGGAGGACCATCCGATTTCTTAACTCCTAGGAAACTATAGTAAGAAGCCTGCAGACAGACTTTCTTTGCTCCGGCGACTCCTGAGAAGAGTTGTACTTTTTTTTTTTTTTTTTTTAAATCAGGAAGAAATCAACTAGTGTTTTAATCGATGGACCTGGGATGGTGGGAGGGGTGCGTGCGCGCGTGTCTCAGTATCTGTGTGTGTGTAATGTCAGGGGAGGGGGTCACGGGGGGTGTGTCGACTGAGGGAGAAATGAGCAGCCCGATCGGAGCGTGCAAGATGCTCCTCTCTTGCCCTCTTGCTCCCCCAGAGTCCTTTGGCAAGTCGCTCCTTGCCTGGCAGCCTCCCCAAACCGGGTCTGAAGGGGGGCCGGGTTCCGGGCCCTGGGCCAGGCCGAGGAGGGCAGCCTGAGGGAAGCTCGGCTCCAGCTCTCTTCCCCATCTTCTGAGCCCCGCTGGAAGGAAGGCAACCCGGTTGCTGGCAGGAGAGCCCAGACTTGGGGATGTGGAGGGGGTCCGGGACTTTCTCACTTTTGCAGTTTCTGAAGCATCCCTTGCTCTCCTCTGAATGTCGCTCCTAGTAACTCCGGGCCTCTCTCCCAACCCCTTTCATCTTTCCTCCCCTCTTGTCGCCACTTGGCACTGAACCTGGGGAGCTTGGCGCATTTGTGGTGTGTGTGTGTGTGTGTGTGTGTGTGTGTGTGTGTGTGTGCGCGCGCGCGCGCGCCGGGCTTTGCCACTTGCGTCCTGGCACTTGGAAATCGGGACTGCTTAGGTTCTTTCCCGCTCCTCCCTCATCTATTCCACCTCTGCCCTGCTACCCCACCCCCCGTTATCCGGATAGAAAGAAGCGGAGGCAGTATCTGTGCTGAGGCTGCGTAAATCGGCTGCGGCTCCACGCGGGGGCGAAGACAGGCTTGGGAGGGGTGGGGTCTCCCGCGAGCCTGGCAGGCAGCTGGTGGAGCCTTGGAGCTGGTGGCAGCGTCCAAGCCCGCTGTTCTACCAAATGGGCGCCTGGTGTGGTTCTCCGTCTGGGAGTCTGCACCCCGCAGTTGCTCCAGAGATAAGGCTGTAACTTCTGAGGTGGTGGTGCTGGAGGAGGGAAGCGAAGGGGTGGGGCTTAGCCTAGGTCCAAAATTGTAATCTTGTTTTTCAGGCCAAGAGAGAGGAAATTGAGGGTTGTTTGGCTGTCTGGCCTCTAGAGATTAACCTCCTGTATCTAGTTTCCAATCCAAAAGTGAGGAAAGAGCCCCACCCCCCACCCCCTACCCACGCCCTTCCGCTCCCCACTCCCCATTACCTCTAGGACCAGAACTCTATGTAAGTCTGTTAAAATGGCCCATTCATTGGCAGAGCTCTGTTTGCAATAGCAAAATGCCATTCCTGTAGGTGTTCCACAGACAGAACATAATTAGTACTAAGGTCCTGAGAGTGGAGATTGATATAGATGATAGATGTGAGGATAAAACTTATTCATGTTTGCAAGGCTTGTCTAGTATCATTGCTTCGCAACTGGTTGACAGATGGCGAGTTTATGCATTGAAATTCAAGTCTAAAGATGCTGTTCGTTTCTTTGTTATCCTTTCATTTGACATTTTTGGCAGGCTGTGTTTTCATCTGAAACATTATGGCGTTGTAAAAATGAACAAATTTGGGCATGTTCCTTTTGGCAGAATTGTGCATTATAGTTGTTGAGGTTTCTAAGGTGGGGGATGTGGGAAACCTTCATCGGTACAGTAACATATTTACTGTCTTATGGAGGAGGCTGAGCTTAAGAGAAAGATAGTCAATCAAACTCTGCATCTATCGGCATATCCTTCCTTATGATGTGTCACTCCACTCCCTACTTGAGACAGAATAAATGACAAGAAAATGCATATGATCTTGGTACTGTTTTGCCTCATTATACTGTAAATATTTGGAGACCAGGTAGAGCTATAATGTAACTTTTAACTTCCCTGTGACTCTTGATTAGAATGACAAAGAAATAAACCAGGGAGTCTGTGGATAATCTTACTTTCACTCTTTCTGGATCTTCATTTACTGGAAAATATTTAGGTGGGTAAACAGGTAGTATATGAAAGGAATGGACAAAACATACATAATGTAAAACCAAGTAAATGAAGAGAGATCCTTCTAGACAGATCTAGGGATAAAATTTTGCTCGATGTTTTGGAAGTTTGATTGGCTGCCAGGTCCTGTTGGGGTAAAAATATCACCCCTGAGAATGAAATTTATGAGTGATAAATGATGTGATGTGGTTGTTAATTATTTTTGTGAGGATATCATCATCCTAGGTTTGTACTCGCAATTGTCTTATACTATGGCTGAATTTCAAAACATTGGCTATTTATATAATATGAATGATAGGTATTTTGAGAGCAAAATATTTATAGGACATGTTTAACCTATAACCTTTTGCAGTTGTCCAGCATTTATCTTTTAAAGATAATACTGCACATGTGACTGGACATGTCTTTGATGTATTTTACAATGGAAGAGTAACTGAAAACTTTGTAAATTACAAACTTTGTAGGTCTCTATTCTTATGACTTACAAATATCACTAAAAATTCTCTATATGTATGACTTATAAATGTCACTATAAATTCATCAGTTATTATATTCAATATTCTGGCAGTTTATTATTGGTATTTATTAAGTATAAACTGTTATATTTAGAATTCTAATTCTTTTATTGTCAATGCTATGCTTTTAGGCCTTAGTATATTTTTATAAATAAGCAGAGAGCTCTTATTAAGTTGGAATAGAAATTAGAAATAAAAAAGTGATTATGACTGGATCACTGTATCAGACAACATATACTTGTTTTACTTTTATGCATTTTTATTCTATCTAAAGTGTAATATATTTTTTAATATTCTCTCTATTTTTGTATAAACTTTTTGCCAACATTAGTGGACTTTTGTTTGAGGTTATTTTGAAATTGATTTTATTTTTAGAAGTTTTCTTCACATCGAGAGAAAGATCGATGTGAGAGAGGCACATTGATTGGTTGATTCCTGCCCAGCCCCTGTCAGGATCTAACCTTCAACCCAGGTTGAACTAGTTATTTAATTATTGTTTGATCATTTATAATTAGATTATATATTGGAAGAAGAGGAATAGGATTTCTACAAAGTCAAAGGACAGTTTTATTCTGCCTTCAGAAGTTAGTAAAACCTCAAATAACTTGACTTTTCAGAAATAATAGGGGTCTTTTGTACTATAATGGAAAAGCCTGACATATACAACATATTTATTCAGCACCTACTATATGCTATATTATTTTTTTAGTGTTACCAACATGAACAAGTTATCATTTCTGGTCTCAGGCAGCTCAAAGGGTTAGTTTGGGAAGCATTTATCATTTCTTTGAATATCAATAGTGTACAAAGGCATTACTGCTTTCAGGGGCCACATTCACTATAATCTAATAGGCTTGGGGAGAGAAAGCAGAATGGAGAATAACAGCGAGTATATATAGATTTATAAACCAATACTAGCTATGTACTTAGTAGTATAATAAACCTTTAAACCTTTGATGAAAAGAGTAGAAGCTTTATTTTTTATTTATTTATGTTTTAATCCTCACCCAAGGACATTTTTCCATTTTTTGTTCAGATAGAGTGGGAGAGAGAGAGAGGAAGAGAGAGAAAGAGAAGCATCAATGTGAAAGGGACACATCGAGTGGCTGCCACCCACACGACCAACCAGGGCCGGTGACAAACTGCAACCGAAGTACATACCCTTAGTGGGAACCGAACCCTGGTCTCTCTGGACCGCTGGCCGATGCTCTAATCACTGAGCCAAACCAGCCAGGGCAGAGTAGAAGCTTTAAAAAGATGGTAAGATAATGAATTTTAAGAAACTTACAATTTATTCATATTGTCATGATTAACACAAAAATATCAATGCAATATACAGGAGACCCCCAAGTGATTTTTATGAAGGATTTTTATGAAGGATAAGTTCTTTGGGGGAATGAAAGGTCAAAAGGGAAGATTTTGTATCTTTCTTTGGGGTGTGGACAAGATTTGAAAAGGTAGAGAGAAGGAATTAACAGGAAATAGAAATAAGAATTAACAGGTAGTTAATACAAGATTAATCCATTTTGCTTTCTTCTACACTGAAAATAAAATAGTGGTGAAAGTCTAGCATTTTAGGGATAAAATGAACTGTTACTGGTTTTTAGGTGTGAGGTGATCCATTTTTAGAAATGTAGAAAAAAGAGGCATTGCTTTTTAAAAATAGGTCTCAAATAACCTGACATCTCTAGGTACCAATTTGCCTGTTCCTTCATGAAGATCTCACTGGTGAACTGTTTTGCATCAAATGTTGGTGTTAATATGGGATCACAGATCTTGTTAGTTAGAGAGAAATTGAAATACGTAATAAACAGACTTCTGTTTGGAAACATAATCCGTTGCTGTTTTAGGTGAATTCTATTTTAGTTTAGATTGATTATAACCTTGAACATTTATTGCAGTGTTTCAATTTGTAATTTTAAGTGACAAGGCTGCTCTGTGGGTTGAAAATATATATGTATATATAGCTAAGCCTTGTGAGTGAACATGACTCTCAAGTAGGAACCAGGGAACCAGTTAAGATCAGTGCCTTGGAATCACTCATGGACTTCATGGGTGGGAAGGTGTGTCAGCACTGTGTCTGTGGATTGGAAAGCACCCATGTTTCTGTTAATAAGCAGAAACAAATTAAGCTTAAGTTTAATTTTGAAAACTTTGAAAACCCATAGGAAACAATCCATTTGGAAGCTGATGAAAACAGAACTAACAATTATCTTCAATATATTTTTGTTTTTAAGTGTTCTTTTTTAATAGTTTAGCTACTTGAAATTGTGTAGTTTATTGCTAGGAAATCCTACCAAATATTTTTTGGTTAATGAGTCACTACATATAAAATTCATTACT